GGCGGGGCAGCGGCTGCAGCCCCGCCGCTTCCCCCGCCGCCCTGCCGCGGCTCCTGCTGCGCCGCGCCGCCGCTGCTGTCGGCGCCGCCGTCGGCCGCATGCAACGGCTCGCCGCCCCTGAACACGCGCCCGCACGAGACGCACAGCTCGTCCCCCGCGCCGTGTGTGTCCCGCATCAGCGGCACGGCGCAGTCATCGCAGCTCTCCGCCAGCATCGTCCAGCCGGCGCTGCGGGGCGCATGACATGCACGGGTGTGCGTGCGTGCGTTGAGTGTTGTTTATGTGTGCCTGCTCTTGTGTGTGTTTGTGTGTGTGTGTGTGTGTGTGTGTGTGTGTGTGTGTGTGTGCGCGCGCGCGTGATGCGCTGTGTGTGTGTCTGTTTGTCTGTCAACTGTGCAGGCTGTGTGCAAATCTTTGTGCCTCAGGCAGGCACAAAGCATCAGAATAACAGCACGAGGCAACGCGTAGCATGAGGGCAACGAAAACAGTGGAGACACACTGCGTGCAAACCCAATCAACACCCCATGCCTTTGTTGTGGCTGTGCATGTGCCTGCAGAACACATGTGGTGGCAGCACCCTCATGCTGTCTCTTGACTCACAGCAGCAGGCGGCCCATCTCAGCTGAAGGTGAAGCGGTGCGGCGCTGCATCGCTGGCAGTGGCGCCGTCGAAGGCATCCCTGGCGCCATCCGGGTCGGCGAACGCGTAATCCCGGGTGTTTCACAAGCCAAAGAGACGCTCTCGGGCTTGCGGTGGCCCAAGTGGTCGTGGCGCGCAGATCAAATTATGAAATTCGCGCCGTAAGCGTGAGCCCCAAGTGCTGAAAATAGTAAGAAAAACAATTCAAATGCAGCTTATGATCACATTAGCACGGCAACGGACTTGACCAGCACCATGCACCGCGCACTGCAGGGTGAGTCCAGGCAGGCGGCGATGCAACCAGCGTGAGCCTGGACTGCTGCTCTGACTTGGGCTCGAAGCCTCGTCGAAGGGGTCGATGTTGATCGGGCAAGCCTGACAGAGACAACCACTTGCACACCTCAGCGCGTCCTGGCGGTGGAAGGTCCGCGCGCAGCCCAGGCTGGGATGCTCTTGCTGTAGCAGTGCCTTGAAGCCTAGGCGCCCGCACTTGTCACCCACCCCCAGCTTGGTCGGCCGGCTTGTTAATATTTCCAGCCACGTGCCTGTCCAGAAGATTCTGACACTGTAGTACCTGCGGCAAGCGGCTTAAGCTGGATGGCGAGGAAAAGCCCACCAATCCCCCCTGCAGGCGGGCTGCTGATGTACAAGTGATGACCACACATAGCGCTTGTGCTGCTGCTGCTGCTGCTGCTGCTGCTGCTGCTGCTGCTGCTGCTGCTGCTGCTGCTGCTGCTGCTGCTGCTGCTGCGCCAGTGACTGGAGGCTGTTTACAGGCATTGCCATGTGCATGGCGAGGCGGGCAGTGCAAACGCACTCAAGGCAAGCAGCGCATCCGCCCAAGGGCCCGAGCGCGCAGGCCAGAATCAAGAGCGAGGCGTACTGCACGCATTTCGGGAGGGGTTGGTGGTGCAAGGACGCACTGTGAATGGCTGATCCAGTTATGCTTGTGGTGCAGAGGCTAGGGTGAAGTGCAAGAAATTTGCAGGACAACTCGCAAGAGTGCGCTTGGATGCAGCATTAAAGCGCCGCAGATCATGCATTGCGTGACAGCTGGTGAGGTCGGCGTCTGACATCGTCAGTGCTTGAAACGGGTGCATACACAGCCATGCAAGTACGCTGAAGTTAGGGCACAGTGGTTTGACGACGCAACAACAGTGCGAAAAACGGAGTGACGCTCACTGGCTGCAGCGCCAACATGCTGTTGCTGCCTGCCCACTCCCATGCTGATACAGTATTCATCGGTCAATTCGGGTGAGCATGCCAGCTGCTCTAGTAAGACGGCATGTACCGCACCCTGATTTGCAGAACTCTTGATTTCCTCGATATTTCATGCAGGAGACCCGTGTAAAGCGTCAGATCGGTAGATCTGGTACCCACCACGAGAATTCATGCACGTGCCAGCTGACAAAATACATACACGGTTACGGCACATCCAGCAGCAGCGTAGCCGGTCACGGCCCGCAGCCGGCGTGCATGGCAACCGAGTCGCCGTGCCCCGTCCCTGCCAGTGCTGCCGCCAATGCTGCCGACCCGCGCTTCGCGTCGCAGCGCTGCCCTGGGGCGCAGGCGCGGCAGCTGCTGCGCCACCAGAAGGTCCCATCGCTGAGGCAGACAAGGCAGCAGGCACGTGCCAGGATACGCAGCTGGACGCTTCCCCCTCAAATGGCGGCCTCCTCGGCCTGCCCGAGCTTTCTTCGCCCGCATCGCTCGAGGCCGCATGGCGGCAGCGCTGGCAGCCACCGCTGCTGTTAAGCTGGCAGGCGCTGCGCGAGCAGGCGCTGCAAAACGAAGGCAGCAGCAGCGACCCCGCTGCCGCCCTGCAGTTCGTCGCATCCCTGGGCTCCCTAATGGGCGGCATTCAGCAGGCTGCGGCGCTGCTCTCGCTGCTGCTCGAGGCGTCGGCGGCCGCGCCCCTGCGCCGCGCGGCCGCTGCGGCTTTCCTCGAGACGCGCCAGCTGGAGCGCGCGGTGTGCTGTGATGAGGCGCTATATGGCCACCTGCAGCAGGCGCTGCTTACACTTGACGGCCGGGTCGGCGACGACGCGGGCAGGGGCGGTGGCGGCGAGGGCGCCGCTGCGCCGCAGCGACGAGCGGCGTGGCGGTTGCCTCTCAGCTTGGATGAGGCATTCTTGCAGTTGGGCATGGGGCGGCTGCTCTCACCGCGACGGGGCGGGGCGCGGACCGCGGGGCAGCAGGAGGCGCCGCCGAACCGCGCGCCCGCCGCGCTGCGGGACGCGCTGGCGGCGGGGCGGCGGCTGAGGCGCCACATGCGGATGCAAGGGCTGCATCTCCAGGTGTGCGATGGTGGGACCTGGGCATTGGGGTGTTATAAAGGGGGGGGTGCGCACCCCTGGAGCAGAGGCCCCAGACGAGAGAGATGCTTGAGGGGGACACGGGAACGGACACTACCGTCACGATGCGTCCGGACGTGCAGGGCCAAGCCGCGAACAGTCACAGCTCGGCGGCGGCTCCACCTAGCACACGGCAGCCTTCTGCCAAGGAGGCGGGTCGTCGATATGCAAAGAGTATGCGACCCCACGCCCTGCCCGCTGCGCTCTACTCATGCAACCTGTGCAGGACCCGCCCCCCGGCCTGCCGCGTGAAGACCAGCTGCTGCTGGAGGCGTCGGCGGGCGCGCAAGAGCGGGCCGCCGCGGCACAGCTTGCGCGGGGGCTGGGCGCGCGGGAGCTGGCGCCGGCCGTTCAGATTGACTTTGAGGGGCTGCGCCACCTGCTGGAGCCGCTGGGACCGGGGTTTTGGGGGGGCAGCAGTGCGCGGGAGCAGCAGCAGCAGCAGCAGCAGCAGCAGCAGCAGCAGCAGCAGCAGCAGCAGCAGCAGCAGCAGCAGCAGCAGCAGCATCACCAGCAGCAGTATCATCGGGACAAGGAGGAGAGCGCAAGCAATCGTGGCTCTTCGCACGTAGGTGCAGGGAACGCAGCGGTGGGCAGTGCAGAGGGCGGGGGCGGCGGCGACCTGCGGCTGACGGTGGAGCTGGTGCGCGCGGTGCTGGAGGGGCACCCTGATGCCGACACGCGGCGGCAGGTGAGCATCCAAACCATCCGCATTTCAAAATCGTCAGCAGCATACTACAGGATCCGAGCGGAGGGTCGATGCCCTCGGAAGCCGCCCTGAATCTGCGTCCTGTTGCAAGCCGGCGGCCGTGCTGTGTTGACCCGAAGGTCCCTCAATGCCCCTGGATCATAACGCCTTGCTTGCTATATAGCATGCGCCCGCTGTCGCTATACAACGCAAAGGATTTCAGATCAAGGATCTCGCGCCTCACCACTCCCCCTGCAACCCTGGCCCCTGCACCGTCACCCTCCACCTGCTCGTGGCGCACTGCCGCTGTTGTGACTGTCTGACTGCCGTTGTTGACTGCCCTACTGCCAGGTGTACGACGCGGGTGTGCTGCAGCGGCTGGACTCCGCCCTGCTGGCCTGGGGGGAGCTGGGGGAGCTGAGGCGCAAGCTGGCCAGGTGACCAGAGGGTGGCAAGGTGTGCAAGGACAGGCCTCGAAGATGGGCCTGGCGTGTTCTTGCGAAATGTGGTGACCAGATTGTCCTCAAACAGCTGCCTACGGCTGCACTGGCAACTGCCGCATGCGGCTCTGGTCCAGACGCTTGCAGGTATCTTGTTTGTGCATGCGTGACTGTGTGTGTGTGTGTGTGTGTGTGTGTGTGTGTGTGTGTGTGTGTGTGCGCGCGCGCGGGCGCATGTGCGCGGGTGCACGCGCGCGTGCGTGTGTGTGCATGTTGGAAGGGGCCCGGGCACCGACTGCGGGCCTTGCGTCGATGCGGCTCAGAGTGCCGGGATATCCAAAACCCCAAGCCCTGGGTCTTGCCCCTGCAGGTGCCACGGCCGCGAGTGCTTCGCCGACTGGGCGCTGCAGGACGGCCCTACGGGCTGCCCCGACGCGACAATGGCGGCGCTAGAGGAGATCGCAGCGGCGCAGCGGCCCGCGGCTGCACGGCGGTGCCTGCAGATCGCCAACGAGTGGTGGCGGGGCGGCGGGTCCGGCGGTGCACGGGCCGCCGCTGCGACGCAGCAGTCGGGCCGCGGAGCGGCAGGCGAGGGGTCGGCTGATGGCGCTGATGAATTGGGGGATCTTGGGAGCGGTCTGAGAGATGGTGGCACGTGTGATCTGGAGCCCTGGGATCTGGAGTATGCTCTTGCACAGGTATGGGGGTGCTGGGATTGGCAAGGGTTGACGCAGTTGGCACCCAAGTTTCTGGGGATGAGCGGGGTGGGTCCTGCGAGTTCCATCCGGCCTGCACTCCACAGGGGATCAGCGCAGCAGCCCAACGACATCCCCCACCAGCATCGCAATGTTATGAGTATTGACCGGCCGCAAGCGTCCCGCTCGGCGCTGCATCTCTTCTCAGGACCGCGCCTCGGCAGCTGGGCTCTCCCCCGAGGACGCGACAGCCCTTGAGCCCTTCCTAACCCTGGCCGGCGCCATGGCGGGCGCCGGCGCCCTCCTGCGCGCCGGATTCGGCCTGTCGCTCGACGAGCGCCTGCCCGCGCCCGGGGAGGTCTGGACGGCGGGCGTGGGCGTGTACGAGCTGCGGGAAGCGCAGGCGCTGACAGCTTTCCAGGGCGCGGGCGCCTCTGATGAACATGGTGGCGTTGCGGGATGTGGCGAAGGGCGGCTGCTGGGGACGCTCTATTTGGACCCCTCCTCAGGGTATGGCACGCGCCTCCTGCTGCATGGCGGCGGCGGCGGCGGCGGCGCAAGCACCAGCGACTCCAACAGCAGCAGCAGCGGCAGCAAGGGGGCGGAGGAGCGGGGCTGGCCGTGCGGCGGCCCCTCGTCGGCCGCGCCGGCCGTCGCTGTCGGCCTGCAGAGCGGCGGGCGCCTGGGCGGGCCCGGGCTGGCTCTGGGGCTGTGGGAGCTGTGTCACGAGCTAGGCCACGCGCTGCACTTCCTGCTGTCCTCCTCTGCCGCTGCTGCTGAGTCAGCGGAATCTTCGGACGCGGGCCATGGGGGCGGGGACGACGGAGGAGGAGGAGGAGGAGGAGGA